GTCGGGAAGGGCTTTTCAGCACAAAAGAGCTTGGATATGAGGCACATGCTTCAGAAATGTCATGCCTTGGTGCTCATGTAGGAAAAACAGGTTTGAATCCTGCCTGTGACCCTTTTTTCCCCAAATAATATAATCTTCTACTTTTGCTACCAAAAAAAAAAAGTAGCAGAAAAACCAAAATATTCTGAATAACTTACTGAAGATGAAGTCTATCAGTTATCACATGCTTTAGACATGTTGCGCCTTGGTGCTCATATAGGGAAAAACACATTTGAATCAAGAGAAGTACACATCCTGAAAAGCGAAGCCAAAACATTTTGATCGCTATCTGGTGGCTGACTGCACTACAGGTCATAAACCCTGCCCTCTCCAAGTAAACGAATGGGACGTAAGCTAAGCTAAACTAAAAAAAAAAATCTAATTACTCTTAAATGTTTCCCAAAGATGGTTTCCATCATTCTTTTCACACTGATGTTTGTTCAAGTGTCTGTTTCTCTAATAAGTTTGCTTTTAATTAGTTATTTGATGCTATAAAAACTGGGTGTGTTGTCATGACTGGGAGCTTGCAATTGGGTCTTTTGGGTGGGACTTTGATATTGCGGCTCTACCTCACAATCACTACTGCACAGACTCTGGCTCCAAATGACGTCATTGGCAATACTGCGATGTTTTGGCTTCAATTTTCTATAGTGGAAGGAAGTGGAGATGCGTCGTCGATCTTTTTTTATAGTCTATGGTTTGAATCCAAACAATGTACATAAAGAACAATAAAGTAACAAACTAAAGTGAGTATTTGGTTGTTTTGAAATAACTGTTATTTCAAATCAACCAAATTTAATTTGTATTTTGTGAATTCTTTGGATAAAGTTGTTTTAAAAGGAACACAGGAGCCTTTATTCTTATAAAACATCACCTGTTGTTTTATTATCTTGGTAAGTGTCTCTCATAAAGCTCATTACAGTTAATAAAATACATCTGGACCCCTGTTTGCCTTGGGTCGTGCAGCCCAACCCCTCCCCCCATATATGCAGGCACATTCCTCATGCAAATTAAATGGACATGCAGGAAACCCCAAAGTCCATCAAAGTTCCTACTATCCATATTCATACCCCCTGACCTAGGTAAAGAAAATAGAAACCAAAGTATTCTATTGTGTTATAAACAGCGTGCCCCTTCCCTATTCAAGCAAGTGCACGTTAGTAAGGATGGACAGATGGCGCACGTGCCATGCGTCCCCATCAAACTAATAAAACGAGATGATATCTGTATGGTTCCAAGAGATGTGCCAAATTATATGGCAGCTAGAGAAAAGAGGTGACACTGGCTGCTTGGTTTTAGCCAGTCTGTTGCTGGTCATCAGATATCAGAGATGCTGAGGTGGTCTTCATTACTGAAATCCATAATCACACGGTGGTGAGAAACTAATTCAGTTTGAGGTGTTTCTGCTTCCGTGGACACCAGCTGCAAGAATCATCTGTGAGGTTCCTCATGGGAAACTCTTCTTATCAGGACAGCAGATAAATACATACATAAAATCATTCAAATAAATAGAACAGTGAAATAAAAGTGCAGTGCTCTCTACTGTGATATATGACCAACAGCTTTTGATAAGTATTGTGAACGCTGAAAAATGGGGAGCGCTATAGGATGTTTTGTATGTTTAATGAGAAGGCACGCTGGCAGGATGGCTAAAGCTGTGTATATGAGTTTATTTCAGTTGTAGATATGCTAACTCCTCTGGCTGTTTATTAGGTGTCATGCCAAGCTCTCAGAACCCTGCATGGGCTGCCCAGTATCTGACATGCCGACCCCTTCATAGTCTGACTGCTAAATATGATTACTGTTTCGCATGTTACAATGATAGTAGTTTGACCATTTTTTTCCAAGTACGGTATTCTGATAATTGTCTTAAGTATGCCTTTTATGACTTCTTTTAAAGGAGATAGGAGTAACTTGGGCAACAGAACATGACTTATTAGGCTACTATATATTAAAGTGCTTGGCATATCATGCATGGTGTGTGCAGGGTCAAAAATTAACACTTGCCAAGTGCAAATGTGAGTAAATTGGCTTTGGCGAGTAAAAGAAACAGCCAGATGGCTGGTAATGCTTTTAGTGATTTCAACATATAACGGTATTTTTTTTTTACACTGTATATGAACAATAGTTTTGGCCGCTCTGCAACTTGAACAAATCCATTCTAAGCAATGCAAGTGAACATTTGAACTTTTAACTCAATGGGAAATGTAACATCAAAACTTTAGTTTTCTTTTATTGTCATAGCTCCGGAAATGTGATGGGTGGCTTAACTGTGATACTGTGAGCGACACAATGTTCTGCGCTAGTTGCTGCAACTATACAAGGGACAAAGTGCTAAATAAATCATTTGTGATTGGTAATGGATTACGTTACTACTTTTGTCATGTAATTTGTAATCAGTAACGGACTACAATTTGTAAATAATCTACCCAGCTCTGACTGGTATAGTAATATAATAGTGTTAGATGGGAATATATATATATATATATATATATATATATATATACACAATAGAGATCAAAATTAGAGAACAACCTACAAATTCCTAAATTTCAAGGTCACCCCTTAGTCCTATTTGAAGTCATTCTAACAGGAGTAGAAGGGCAGTTTTTAAGCATATTTCATAAATTAATCGTATTGTGAAGCACAGTATAAAGACTTACATCAGATATTTGAAAAAGAATTCTGATCAAAATTAGAGAACACTTACAGATACCTCCAAGTTATTGGTGTTAATCTGGCACCTGGTGCTAATTTCCTTAATTATATGACAAACCCTATTTAACTGGCAGCATTCCTCTAACTTTCACTGAGATTGCAAGATGACGGGCAGCTCTAAGGTGACTGAAATCCTGCGACAGAAGGTTGTCCAGATGTAGGCCAAAGCGATGACCCTTTCAGCCACTGCACGAGAGGTTTGTCGTTCCAAATCTGTACTTTCTTGAATATCGCATCTTTAAAATGACACTAATTGATTCAAGTCCCCCAAAAGGCTGGTTTTCCACGTAAGACAAATGCACTAGAAGACAGGATAATGCAGAGACTCTCAATGGGGAATCGGTTCAACACTGCAGCTGAAGTTGCTCGCCAGTGCTGAACGGTATGGATCTGACTCGGCACATTTAAGAGAAGTCGTACTGAAAGCATAATCTGTAGTGACCAAGCCTCTCATCAGCAGAAAGAATCAAAAGACTAGACTAACCTTTGCTGAGGAGCATGTTGTCAAACATGTTAGTTGAACAGTGGTATACCCACAGCTAATATTCTTTCAATTTTTGAGCAATGAAGATTAACAGTATTTCAGAAAAGAACAAGTATTTGTAGATTGTTCTCTGTTTTTGATCTATCTATCTATCTATCTAATGTGTGTGTGTGTGCGTGTCAGCGACGTGTTACACTTTCAGCTTATTAATTGATCATTTTCCAGAAGTGGAGGACAGGCATTTCCCAAGGTCTCCATTCTGACTGAATATGCAACTCATGATTCTGGTTAGTGAATGTGTTAAGTAGCCTGGGACAGTCTGGATGAAACAAATGAAGTATTATGGATAATGTGTTGTGACAGCTTATTCATTTGCCATATCTGGAAATTCAAATATGAACTCGATTTGCAAAGTGGGTAATTCGTAGAGTAAAAACATTGTTTTGGTAATACAGAGATAAGAAATACCACCTGACAATTCCTGTATTCTGTGCATGATTAGTGCACAGCCATGCAAGTTAATCAGTGCACTTTCACTTGTTATATTAAACTCCCATAGCAAGGTATGACCAAAGCAGGAGCTTCGCAGTTCTGGTCACCATGCTTTATGTTGATTTATGATGCCTGTGAAGACCCTAGAATGCCTTTAGAAGAGGAACTTCATGAAGTTGTGCTCAGAGGAGAGTGACTGACTGGTGTCAGGTAATGAGGTGCTCTCAAGTGTTGAATGCCACAGTGGCTCTGTTCCAAATCATAGTACGCTGCCTTATTGTAAGTTGTCTGCATAGGCAGCTACAATCTAAAGTAGCATTCTAACCAAAAAGGAACCTCATAAATGACTGAATTGAAACCGTTTTCATTGGTAGCAATTGTCCCTCAACCTGCCAAGTTCCCAAGCCCAGTCTAAAAACCATCAAAGCTTGAACTTGTACCACCTGATCGCTGCAACACAATCATGTGGGAACACTCAAAATAGCAGTGTAGTTTTTCTGTAATACTTATGTCTAATAATTCTCATAATTGACTATGACTTAATGCAAGAATAATTAGAATAACAGTAATTACGGCATGGTATAAATGCAGCATTAGTCTCTTGTGTGTTTTTGTTTTATGTAACGAGTAGGACACTCCTGGATAAAACTTTTCAATGAATGCATTCGGAGATGTCTTATCCATGATGCATACATACAATAGTGACATAGATTTTAGCCAAAACAATGTATCTTTTAAGACAGCATCATTTTAGATGTCTGCCATTTGAAAAAGGTGTCAGTACCATGCCTAATTGCCTAAGATGCCTAAAAATGCTGTCTGTAAAAGTAGGCAGCTCACTAGGGTTTAGAAAAGAGCCACAAGCTATCCAATTACAAGAGTATCGTCCTGAAGAAACAGCAATCAGTTTTGTCTGTCATTCAGAATGTAGGTGTGTTGGGGTAACTGCAGTCACAGCCCAGTTCACCACTCCCCTATTTGCTAAGTCAACTAATCGTAGTATTCATCTTTCAGTCTCTCACAGTGGCGGTCCCTCTTCATCTATGAAGCTGATATGCTCTGTGGAAGGCCTTTCTCCTGCTGCCCATTCTTGCATCTCAAACTCTAACTGAGGAGGTCCCGGCCTGGGGTTCTGCGGGGACTGTGAAGTGACAAAAGAGGCCTGGGTTTCTGGCAGGGAGTCCAGGAAGCAGGGCAAGGGTGGGGAGGTGTGCGGACAAGAAGGGGAGGTGTGCGGACAAGAAGGAGGGGTGCACGGCCATGGCTGGACCTGAGGGGCGGTGGCAGTGGAGGAAGGGGATGAGGGAAACTGACTGATTCCCAGCCTGTGGTCACCAGGGGAGTTACTGATCGAGGGTGGTGCAGAGCAATGAGACAGCGGTAGAGGTGGGGTGTCCTGTGAGGGGGGTCGAGGTAGCAAACCTCTGCTGTGACTGGCAGGTTGGTGAGGACCCTGGCAGGGAAAGCAGGAAGTAGATTGGGAGCGGAAAGAAGGGAGCGAGAAGGAAAAGGTTAGAGATGGGGATAGGGGGTGGCTGGCTTGCGGTGGCTGGGCCGGAGCTGCCTGAGTGCCTTCCCCCTCCGTTTGGGCTGTCACTGGAGAAAGAAGGACTGGAAAGGAAGGTTCCCTCGAACAGCCTGCCTGAGCCTGTGCTTGGGGTCTCTGCGGCAGGTTGGTGGGTATGAGACAGCTGGGCAAGCCAATGCTCCCAGTGTCTGCGTTGTCCAATAGGGTGCATGTAGATCTGAGCGGTGCAGACGATGTGGCTGTGGGTGAAGGAGCTGGTGGCGTGGATATTGTTGGACTGCTGCTACTGCTGGGAGATGGAGGCATTGTTGGCCTAAGGGCTGTCTGGAGAGGTTGAGATCCAATGACAAGCAAGGGCCGGAGGAGACGTGTCATTTCCTGTAGCTCTTTGCTCAGCTGAGAGACTTGCTGGGATAGACTAGTCATCTGTGAATGAGATCAGCAGAATGTAAGTTATGGAACATATAGTTCTGGCTATAAAATCTGACTGGATGTTCTTCATTCAAAACTATTCACATTAAACGATGTCCCAGGTAACTATTTCCTTATGGGTGTAGTGGCTGCATGTCTCTTGAATCATTCCGCTGTCACAAAATTAAGTCGTTTTAGGATATGAAGAGCTTTTCGCTTAGCATCCAGGTCCTGATCAATCTCTCTGGGTTTATTTTGCTATGTTGACCAGCTGACTCTTTACTATCTTGTACTTACTGAACAAAGATGTATTTTATGATAGTGCTGTAGAGCAGCCTTTTTACAAAAATCAATAAGCCACTTGTCTTACACCCTTTAAAAGTGGTACAATCAATGTAATGCATGGCCTATAGTGGTTTATTGGTTTTGGTAGAGCCTGATCTACTTTTCACACATCTTCACAGATATAAAGGGATTTTATAACCTGCATGTTGAGTAATGTTGTAGTACTCAGGAGTTTGTCTGAGTCCAAGACCGTATTTCCATGGTCTTGGTCTTGACCCAGACTCGAGACCTATTCCGGTGCCGAGCACTAAAATTCTATCCACAGTGTTGTAGTACTTGAGACCGGAATTGGTCTGGAGGTTTGCGTCACACTGATTATATAAAATAATTTGATTAATTCTGATTTTATGTTTGTTTCATTTACCTCCTCACTCAGTTTGGTGATGCTCTGCTTGGTCTCCAGCTGCTCCTGGTTCACTGCACACAGATGCACACAAAATGAGGTAAGTTGTTATAGAGAGTGTTAAACATATATTTTTTTAAGCAAACAGTGAGGGAGGCTTGGATTGATGAAGAAAACTGTTCCCTGGCCTTCTGATGCATATTGCACACAAAACTTGTAAGAGCTGCAATCTGATTGGCCAGCTTTAAAGTCATTGTGCATCGGAATTAAAGTTGCATTAGTAAAGTTACCAGACTGCTATGATGAATGATTGAGAGGGAAAAAATTAATAAATGGATTTGCTAAGGTTTGTAAAGTTCAAGGTCTGTGGCATCAAGTCTTATCCTCAAAGGTACTGAAGAGTTTTGATTGAGACATTTAGTGGGACAAATATCTCTGAGCAGCAAAATATTCTGTATTGCTTTGAGGTTCATATCCAATTTCAGATGTACCAGCCCTAAATGTCACGTTAAAAAAAAATAGTTGGCAGTTTTACATATTGGTCAGATGGTCCCTTCTTGTCTAAGTGGGCGGTTCTTGGATAGAATAAGCTGCAGAATAAGTCTGATTGTGCAAGACAGTCTATTTTTGGAAATATCACTTGATGATATTTCCTTTCAGAAATCGCATTCTGCTTTGTAGTTGTGTTTGTACCTGGGGAAGGGGATGGAGGACCGCTCTGAGGTAGGGTGGGACCGAACTCAAACCTTTGTGTTGAGCTGGAATTGCTTTCTGTCTCTATGCCGTCCACAAACCTACAGAGACATCAGACAAATGCACTGTTGTTCATGTACAGCTGATGAAGAGCTGGTAAGAGATTCAATCAGTGTGGTTAAAAATAACTGAAATAATAATATTAACAATAATAGCTTTAGTAACTTTTAAAAAACTGTTTTCTATTTTAATATATTTTAAACTATAATTTATTCCTATGATGATTTCTGAAGGATCGTGTGACATTGAAAACTAAAATAATGGCTGCTGAAAATTCAGCTTTGCCATCACAGGAATAAATTCCATCTTAAAATATAAAAGTTATTTTATATTGTAATAATGCTTTACAATATTACTGTTTTTACTGTATTTTTCATCAAATAAATGCAGCTTTGATGAGCATAAGAGACGTTTTGCAAAAACATAAGATCTTAATTATTCCAAACTTTTGACTGGTAATGTAATATAAAAATGCCTAGGTAGAAATTGATTTCTTAACTTTTTGCTAATTAAATTTAAGCTTTAGATAAGCCTTGATTTCTTAGTGTAAAATTGAAGAACCAATCACTAGAGCAGGCAGGGATTCTACCCAAATTGGTTGTCATGGTAGCTGGATACTTCTTCTAAATTATGAATCTGTAAAGTTCCTGTGAGAGCCAGCAGAGGGCCGCAGCTCATTGAGGATGTGATGTGCGATGTGTATGTGTACCTGGGGCTGAGTTCTGGAGGGGCGCTGCTGAAACTGACCACAGGGATCTGGAGGGTGGCGGGTCGCGTGTGGTCTGACGGAGGGCGGAAGGGGCGAGGGGGGAGGAGAGGTGATCTCAGGGGGGAGCTGAGGCCCCGA